CATATGTTAGGTTGGTTTATATACGTAGACCAAAAAATAAATAAAAAGTAAGGATAAAACTCTAAAAACTCATTAATTTTGATTTTATTTTCGTCTTAGTCAGTATTCTAGTAATTTTCAGATTTTGCTACTTAGTTACTTTATCGCGTCCTGTAAAACAGCTATTTATTTCCGAAACCTACAAATTATTCTCATCTAAATCCGACAAGGATGATATCACATCAGATAGATGTTCTTCTAAAACTATGTGATGAGAAGTTTCAGAGCCTTGGTTGCTAAGCTCTGATTCACTCTCTTCTTCGTCTTCTCTTTGTAATTCCTCGATTACTGTACTTTGCGATAACCATAAACGACTTATTTTAACAAAAAATGCTTTAAAACACCAAAACTCCAAGCTGAATTAGATAATATTGACATGTGTATGTCGCGTTGGGCGTCGCGCGTAACCTATTCGACGACAGGCGCGTGTAGTCTTTTCAACGACTGCGCCAGAGCCTAAAAAAATGTAATTTGTGGAGTGTAGAGAGCGCTTCAAGCAACGAAATAGTTTTTATTTTACTCCTAAAAAGATAGTGACAGGCTACTAGAAATAAGAAATGCATGTGGCAACTAAAAATAAAAATACGAACGAAAATGTATTAACCGCGGTCGATTCGACTACGCGCGCCCGCTTGAAGGTTAAATCAGTTTATGTTTCCATATTAGTACGTAAACTTCGCAGTAGGCAAAAATTTTAAAGGAGGTCACTATGTATACGTTAATTAAATTTTGTTATTTATGCGCACGTCTGTTCACTGCAAGGGCAGCCGAAATTGTCAATAATCCAGTTGTCGTTCGTAATACGTTAACTCGTTGACGAAATTAACTAGTTGATCAACTAGTTGACAAACGCAATTCAACGTTAACGTTTCGTTGACGGAAAAACCTTCAACTACCCATCGCTACACACATGGCATGTGTGTGGCACAGAATCATATGCTTTTTTGTAGTCTATCCAGCATGTAGACAAATCTTTTCGGGACCGACGAACCTGTTGGCTAACAACCATATCAATGAGGAGTAGCTCCTTAGTTCCACGAGAACCCTCCCTACATCCATTTTGAGATACAGACATGATGGAATTTTTTTCAATATGTTTTGTTATTTTTGTCCTCAAAATGGATGTAAGAAGTTTATAGACCGTTGGTAAACCTGTGATTGGTCTATAATTTTTGGGCTCAGTGGAGCTACCTGATTTATGGAGCAGGTGGGTAACTCCTGTTGTTAGAAATTGTGGTAACGATCCAGTTTCCAAAGCTGCCTGGAAGTGTATCTAATGCTAAGCGAACGTGTGAACTCTTGAGCCATTTAATCCAGAAATTTTGCAGTGAAATTGTTATTATTAAAAGCATTTTATTTTTCAGAGAAGAACCGTATATTATGGCTCAAGCGGTGGGTAGATGAAGGTAATGTTGTTAGTTATAAAAGTCCACGATAAACATCCGCGGTGCAGGACAGGCAGATCGTGAACAGAGTGGTCAGTAACGGATTTGTGCGAATTCAGGACATATCATCTTCATATAGCGTATCATCTTCAACGATTCGACGTCGCCTATGCGCTGCTGGCATACGGCACAGAGTTCCGGCGCGAAAACCACTTTTAACTGCACGGCATAAACAACAGCGACTACAATTTGCTCGTGAATATCTAAACTACGATTTTAGCAGAGCCATTTTTTCTGATGATAAAGTGTTTGTTTCTTATGCTGATGTACGTTTGTCTTTATGGCGGCCTAATAACACTCGTTATTTGGAAAGAAACATACTGCCTTCTAGAAGAAGTGGCCGGATAAGCTTCGGCGTTTGGGGCTGGATGGCAGCTAGTGGACCCGGGGAATTGGCCGAGATCAGTGGTCGAATGAATAGCAAGCAATATACCAGTATTTTAGACGAAGATTTACTGCCTAGTCTGTAGGTGTACTTTCCCGAATTGGCGCCTATTGATTTTGTGCAGGACAATTCAGGGGTTCATAATTCTCGATTCACTCAGGCCTGGTTTAATCGCAACCGAAATTTCGTGAATTCGTTGCTGTGGCCGCCTAAAAGCCTAAATCCTATTGAGAATTTGTGGGGGGTGATGGTCCAAGAGCAACTAAGCTAGAACCAGAGAAGCCTTGGTCAGACACGTAAACGAAATATGGAACAGTTTTAGAGGAAGTAATGGTTGCAAGATGTTATAGACGCTGAAGGTGGCTACACAAGATTTTAATAAATTTAATTATCGATACCTCATATTTAAAATTAACAATGGTTATGTGTAGCGACAGTGAATTATATTTGATTAAATGGTATTATAATTTTAACGACATTATAATAATAGTATAATTATGCGAAACCTGATCCATATAGTTTGTTCAGAAAGTATGTAACATGAAAAAAATAACGTTAACCCAAAATAAGGGAAAATGGATAAAATATTAATTACCGCCATCTGTCATCGCTTTTGCGAATTAACATAGACGATAGCAATATAATCAACAACCTTGGATCTTGCCTTTCATATCGACCAAGTGTTAGTAGTACTATCTCTGTGACATAGATGGC